AAGACTCCCTGCTGTTTAGGGTTCCTGTCAGCTCTCTACTAATTTCCAGAGCTATTCTTTCTTACTGTTCTCAAAATAAATTTTGCCTTTACTTTTACCCGACTCTTCTCTGTAGCAGAAATGCACAAAGGATATTTTTTATTCAGCCATCTTAGTTTCCACTCCTGAATGAATATTTTTTATTGTGTTACTTTTGGCAGTTCATGTCTTTCAAGAGATTGTTCCATTTCACCTAGGTTATCAAATTTGTTGAGTATGGAGTTTTTCACAGTATTCTCTTTGTCCTTTCAAAAACCACGGGATCTGTAGTGATGTCTCTTTGTTCATTTCTGATATTTTGTGTCTTCTTTTTTTAACTGCTGCAGGCTTATTGATCTTATCTTTTCAATGTATCAGTCTGTTGTTTCATTGAGTTTTCTATATTGACTTCCTGTCTTCACCCAATTTCTTTTTGAGGGTGGTGGTGGTGGTTCTTCCTCTCCCTCTTCTCCCCCTCCTCCCTTCCTTCATTGGATTTAATCTGCACCTAGCATTCTGAGGTGGAAATAATGCTTTTAGGATTTTTCTCTTTGAATATATGCATTTCTCACAATAAATTTCCCTCTAGGCACTACCTTTGCAGCACCTTCTGAATTTTGCTCTCATTTCATTTAAAAATTATTTTTCTTGCAATTTTTTTATCTGTATGTTATTAAGCCATTGTTATTCCAAGTATCTGAGGATTTTCTTCCTATCTTTTTGTTACTAATTTCTTATTTCATTCTATTGTGGTCTAAGATCAGATTTCTAGTTTTTAAAATTTGTCAAGATTTCTTTTATGGCTCGTGTGGTCTAGCTTGATGAATGTTGCATGTGAGCTGCAAATATGTCATCTGTAGATACTGAAATAGACTACACATGTCAATTACAGCCACTTACTTGACTGTTGGCGCATTTGAGTTCAACTCTATCAGTGACTTTTCTTTCTACCTGTTGGATCTATCCTTTCTTGATAAAGTTGAAGTTTCCAAATAGTACACTTTATCCATTTACTTCTTGTAGTTCCATCAGTTTTTGCCTCATGTATTTTGCTGATCTGTTAAGCAAGTATACATTGATTGCTATGTCTTTTTGAAATATTGACTCTGTAATTATTATGTAATGCTCTTCTTTATCTACATAGCTTTCTTTTTTTTTCAGCTTTAATTGAGTTTATTGGTACATTTTAGGGATACAGTACAGTTACATTCATTGTTGGGATCTTGTACCTCTACATGACGTCTTGATTCTCATTTTTTCCCCTTACCCCTGACCTCCCTTCACCCCCTCCTCCCCTCCCCATCTACAAACACTTTATTTTCATCTTTTCATTCTCTCACATTTTTTTCTTTTCCCTTATTACCCCTCCCCTCCCCATCCTACCTTCCCCACACCTTTAGCTCCTTTCTTCCCATTTCTAAATGTTAGTAATCTTATTAAAATCTTATGCATTGTTGTAGATTATTCACACCAGGGAAACTATTCGGTATTTACACATGTGTGACTTATTTATTTCACTTAGGAGTATATCTTCAATATGTATCCATTTTCCTATGAATGAATCTATTTTCTCATTCTTTATGGCTGAGTAATATTCCATTTTATAGAAAAACCACATCTTCTTTATCCAGTTTCCAGCGGATGGGCAAATGGGCTGTTTACAAGATTTAGCTATTACAAACTGTGCCGCTATAAACATGGGTGCACATACTTCTCTGTGATATGATTCTTTTAGTTCTCTTGGAAAGATACCCAGCAGAGGGATGGCTGGGTCAAATGGAACCTCCAGTCCAAGCTCTTTAATGTTACGATACAAAAAATAAACGAAACAAAGAGCTGGTTTTTTGAAAGAATAAGTAAAATCGACAAACCCTTAGCTAAACTTATCAAAAAAAGGAAAGAAAAGGCTCAGACCCATGCAATCAGGAATAAAAAAGATGAAGCCACAATAGATCCAAAAGAAATCCAGGGGATCATGAACACCTGCTTTGAGAACCTGTACTCTAATAAAATGGAAAACACAGAAGGAATGGACAGTTAAAATGTAATTAAAAACTTACCAACAAAGAAAAGCCCAGGCCCTGATGGATTCACTGCTGAATTTTACAAGACATTTAGAGAAGAACTACTACCATTACTCTTCAAACTTTTCAATGAAATTGAAAGGGAAGCTATACTTCCAAATTCATTCCTGGAAGCAAGTATCACTTGGATTTCCAAACCAGAGAAAGATACAACTAAAAAGGAGAACTACAGACCAATCTCCTTAATGAATATAGATGCAAAAATCCTTAATAAGATACTAGCAAACAGAATACAGAGGATTATTAAGAAGATCATCCATGCTGACCAAGTCGGATATATTCCAGAGATGCAAGGGTGGTTCAACATACGAAAGTCAATAAATGTAATACATAGCTTTCTTAAAAGTATGCTCTGTCTGAAACATAGCTAGTCCCACTTTATTAGTACAGTATATCTTTATCCTTTTTCCTTATGTATGTCTTTATATTTAAAGTGGATTTATGGACAATGTGGTTTGGATTTTTTAAAAAATCTCTGACAGTAGTCTCTCCCCACCTTCTTTTATTACTGGGGATTGAATCCGGAGCCTTCACACAGAGACAGAGCCCCATACCTTTTTAGGTTTTTAGACAGGGATTTGCTAAAGGGAATTCCCTTAGGCTGCCCTTGAATTTGTGATTCTCCTGTCTCAGCCTTACATAGTGTTGGGATTTCAGGTGTGTGCCACCATGTCTAGCTGACAATTTCTTTTAATTGATGTGTGTTCATTGGTGTTGTGACCGATGACAGTTGTATTAATATCTATACTGTTGTATTAATACTGTACAGTTGTATATCTATAACTGTTGCTCTTGTTCATTCCTTTTTAAAATCTTGTACTTTTTCTCATTTCTGTAGTTGAGAATTTGATATGGTTTCATTTTCTTTCTTAGCATATTACACTTCACTGTTTACTTTTTAGGTGATTGCTTGAGTTTGCAATATACCTATACAACCATTCCAAATTCAATGTCAAATAACACTATACTACTTCATAGGTACCCTAATTCATCTTTCTCATCTGTTGTCATTGCTGCCATTCATTTCACTTTTATGTATGCATGCATAAGTGCATAATTTATAATGACTATATTATTGCTGTTAACATTTGAGCTAACAATGTGAATAAAAATTTTTACTCTGCCTTCATTCAATGTTCTTTCTGTAAAATCAAGTTTCTAGCCTATATCATTTTTCCTTCTCTCTGATGAAGTTAAAAATAAAATTTGTACAGGAGATCCAGTGTCAAAAGTTTCTGAAGTTTTGTCTGCAAAAGTATTTGTTCCATTTTTAAAGGATAATATTGCAAGATATAGGATTCTAGGTTGGAGAAGACGTCCATCCCCTCAACACTTTAGTAAACCAAAGCCTAGTGTTCCTTTTTTGGACCTCCTTTCAATGGGACATAATTTTCTCTTCAAATTCTTGTTCTTTGAACTTTGCTAAGGAATGTATATTAATTTCATGCAAAAATTTTTAAAAGTGTAATATCTAGCATCAATGGGTTAAATATTTCACTTGACTCTCTTCATGCTTGTAAGGTTTCTGAGAAGTCAGATGTATTTTTTATATTTGCTCCTCCACAGGTAAGGTGTTTTGTTCCCTTAGGATTCTTTAAAGATCATTTTTTCTAAAATTTAAAGGTCTAGTTGTTCCTAATACTTCTGTTTCTGCTATCATATTAGATATTCGGATTTTTTTGTTTTGTTTCCTCTTTTGCTTTTCAGTTTCAGAACTCACTATTGTAAAGTGGGGTGTAGTGCTACATACCTTTAATCCTAGCACTGTGGAGACTGAGGCACAAGGACTGCTACCAGTTTGAGGCTGGCCTGAGATACACAGTGAGTTCAGGTCCAGCTTGAACTATGCAGCAAAATACCCAACAAGAATCACAGTCATAGCCTCAAGGTCAGAGATTATTTTAACTATGTCCAGTCTAATGAGTTCATCAAAGTCATTCTTTTTTCATTACAATGTTTTTGAACTCTAATACTTATTTTCAGAAATTTGCCTTGGTTTTCCAAAATTCTTGTCTACATTTTGTTACCTTAACATATATTATAATTTTTAGAAATTCCTGGCCTGACGATTCCAACATCATGGCCATATATGACTCTGATTCTGATGATTGTTGGGTCTTTTCAAACTGCTTAAGGCCTTATAGTAAACCATACACCCCCCCACACACACACAAATATGCATACATTTTTTTGTGGAGGTGGTGTGGGGAACGTAGGCGTAATGTATTGAGTAAAAGGAACTATAATAAGCAGGGGAACAGAAAGCATTATATAGTCCTATGATTAAATCTTCCATCTTTTTGAGGTGTGTGAAGTGTAAACTACACTAATGCTTTTTAGTCTTACCTTCCTGTCAGGTGGACAAAAGATTAGCATGCTCTGTATTTCCCTTTTGCCAAGTACATTAGACATTTGTAATTATACTTATGAGGATACCCCTTAAGGACAGAGGACCTGATGTGGTTAAACATGGATCTTCTAACCTTTCCACTTACAGGGAGCATGTAATTTTTTTTCTCCAGTATTTACAGAGAGGATCTGGTATAACTCCTTGAAGCAATTAATTACAAAGTCATTTTGTAAAAAATTTTTAAAAATTATTTTGTAAGAAATTTACATAAGCACCCTGACTCTTCTCGCCCCTCCATGACTAGGTCCTCCTGGAGGTTTTAACTCTCAAATATGTCCACATTGAGCCTCCATTACAGTTTTTCTTACCCCAGCAGTGGTTCCTGGAGAGGTTTCTGCTTCTTTCTTTTCTGGTTATCTGTAATTTTTGGCATTCACCTATTTTTCCTATTTTTGAAGCATTTAGCCCTGTGATACTTTTCTGAGAGCACCACTTTTTGTTTGTTCAGACTTTTTATTTTTTTAATGTCACATTTTCTTTATTCCAAGGTGAAGGAGGCACCTCATGAGGCTGAGATGGTGTTCACAGCACGTTGCCAAGCAGCTGTGACCTTCCAGGCAAATGGAGATTCCTGGCGGGAACAGAAGGAGAAGCGAGCAGCCATGATGGTGGGGCTTCTGATTGGAGTGTTTGTGCTATGCTGGATTCCCTTCTTTGTGACTGAGCTCATTAGCCCCCTCTGTGCCTGCAGCCTACCCCCCATCTGGAAAAGTATATTCCTGTGGCTTGGCTACTCCAATTCTTTCTTTAACCCCCTGATTTACACAGCTTTTAACAAGAATTACAACGATGCCTTCAAAAGTCTCTTTACCAGGCACAGATGAAAGGGGCTGAAGACACAAAAAGGCAGAGTTCTGAGGAGGAATCGAACTTTTATCCATCACTTTCAGTGATCTGGGAGCCTTCTCTCCATATTTAAGTACTAATGATGTTTTTAAAGTTACACTGTTAAGCATGGACTATGGAAGCTGTGCCATACACTTGCTGTCTCATGAAGTATGGGAAACATGTAACTATGCCTTCTTCCCATAGAGCAGGCATTGCCAATGCATCATCATACATTTCCCCATAAGAAGAAACTCCACCTTAGAATCCTTTCAGCACAACACTTGAGGTTGTTACTTACTAATAGCATTGACACAGGGGTCAAACTGAATTTCTCTGTCGAGTGCCCTGTTTCCCTGTGTAGATCTCTCAGGCCTCTCTAAAGACCCTCTCCTTTGTGAAAGACTTCCTTCTCTCATTCAGTGGTCTCAACTTACTTTCCTCAGCCACTTACACGCCCTAAAAGGCAATAAAGTAATACCTCTGTTGGCGAGTACTTCTGTTTTCAAACAATTTGGTTCGAAAACAAAATCATTCAGCAAAATTTTGCTTCCATTTGCAAACTCATAAGGTCAGAATCATAATCATGGCTATCTTTCTCACACACAGCCATCTTCCCCATCAAAAAACAAACCAAGGCACCACTATATATCCCAAATTTGCAGGAAGATAAGGATGATGTTTAGTAACAAACCTCAGTGGAACTCACACCTACCAAATCAAATTCTCAAAGAAGTGGTCTGTTGACCTATATATAGTACATTCTATGACTTTTAAATCAGTGGGAGATGCTGAATACACAATACTCTTTAAATAGGGTAAGCTAGCATTCCTGGTGGATGACCTGGGAATCAGCACCTTTAAAAGCTTACCACACTTCCAATGTGTAGCTAGAGTTGAGAACCCCTGATTTCTTCGCTGTTTCTTCATCATATGGGAGACAGGACGTAAACTTTTCCCATTACTTCACCATACCGACTTGTATGTGTAATAAAAATACTTTTGAGGCATCCTTGTGAAGGCTCTGAATCATTTTTATTCATGGTATACACACTAAGTTGGGGAAAATGATGCCTGGTGTAGAACTCAAAAGCACTACCCACTAAACCTGTAGGTTGTGTTAATAATCTTGGCTGAAAGATACTGGATGTAATCTTCAGCTTTGTTTTCCAATTTTACTATATGTGCTGCTGAAGAGAGCACTTCAGCTTTGTTTTCAATAATTGTATCCAACATCTCAGTGGCATATAGCAACAAGCCTTTATTTCTTGCTGATATGCCTATGGCTTATCTGAGGTTTCACTGATCTTAGCTGGAATCTTCTGTGCTTGATTAGGTCAAGGTCTGCTTCATATGTCCCTTATACTCCCTGGGTCAACAGGGAATATTTTAGTCAAGAGAGAAGGGCAAAAGTGAGCCACACAGACACATTTACAAAACTCATGTCAAAACTGGATATGGTGGAACATGTCTATAATCCTAGCCACTTAGGAAGCTGAGTGGAATATTACAAGTTCAAGGCCAGTCTGGGCAACTTAGGACTCTGTGACCCTTGGGGTAAAAAGGGCTTGGGGCAAAAAAGTCAGTTAGCTTACAAGTCATGAAAAACCCCAAGGTGAGGGGATGGGGGAAAACACTACTTCCATGACAAAGGTATTTGGTATGATGAATGGCAAACAATAATGTTCAAAAGGGCCGGGGATTTAGCTCAGTGGCAGCGCCACCTGCCTCGCAACCACAAGGATGCGAGTTCAATCTCTGGTACCAAAAAAAAAAAAAAAAAAAAAATTTCAACATTTTAAAATAGAACATGGAAAAAAAAAAGTGTGATACAGAAAGGGCAAGTCTTAATATTTTCATCTGGCTTATTACAGTGTTCTCGTAAATAGGCTCCCTGTATTCTACAGGTAACAGCCTCCAGAGGAAACTATTAAAATGAAGCCAAATCACATTGCTTTTCTTTTCAAATCCTTCTATAGCCTTCCCACACAGGTCACTTTAATATTCCCCAAACTTACCTGGATATAACTCAGGACTATTACATTTGCTATTCCTTCTGCCTGGTATTCTTTACTAGGTTTCTATGTGATGTACTCTCTCAACTAGTCAGGGACGAAGGCCTTCTCTAGCTTCTCAATATAAAATTGTACGCATAGTGGTCCCTCAGTTCACAAACTTAATTCAAATTTTCTATGATTCTGGTTGCAAACCAAATTGGATGAGAACCGAATCAAATTCAGTGGCTAGGTTCAATGTTGACCTTATGGGAAAATTTGATTTGGTTGATACAAACCAGAAATTCAAATATTTCTTGGTTGAATATTAATATTCTCATGGAACACAAAACAAGTAGACCCCTGGTTGGTTCAGAAGCTCACCAAGCCTTCAAAGAAACAGGCTCTTTCCAATTTTTTGCTCTTCCAAACTGTGTTGTCAGAACCTCTTTTCGTGGACTCAGGATGAAGTTGCTCATGCTGTCTTTTTTTCAACAACCTGAACAAACAGAAAGGGCAGGTAGGTGCACAATGTGCTGATGACCAGTAAGAAGAATCTTTCCTGGAAAGTTTAGCAGTTTTCCCCTAATTGGGCACTAACCCTAGTGGGTTAGACACCCACCTGTAAATCTATTCACAGCAATCAGAAATGGTATTCCCATCACTGTTGTAGTACAGCTGTTATGATTCCTTTTCCAGGGCTGGACAAAACTGGAGTTCTGATGGACAGGAAAGAGGAGCAGGAAGGACTACTTGCAGCTAATTTCTACAGAAGGTGGGGTTGGCTTATGGAGAATGTTAACAGCTACCTGGGACTCACAGGTGCTGTCCCCAGGTTTTGTACCCTAACAATAAGGAACAATGATTACACTGTGATTTGTTTTTTTCATGAGATGCAGGCAACCCTGAAACAGCTTTAGTCTATTCCCAGGATTAAGTCACTTCACAGTTCATTTTTCTGTCCCTGTTTCTTTCCCTGCTACCAAAACACATACAATAGACACAGCCAGCTAGCTACTTGGTGTTTTGCCTGCGCAAATGTGTTCCACCAGAAGAGAAAAAACACTCTTGCACTGGCCCACTACCCCCAAGACAAAGCAAATAAGGTTTACTGCTTTAACTCAAGGGCTTTATCTTTCTTAACAAAGCAAATTTATGGAGCCAAAATCATCTTCCATTAAAAAAAAGATCAAAATTTAAAATCCATTTATATTTTAATAGATATCATCTGTACACGGTACAAAATTCAGAAGGTACAAAAGGTATACAATGAAAAGTTATTTCTACTGTTCTTTACAGAGGCAACCACAGCTGCCAGGTTGGAGTATAACCTCCCAGAGAGATTCTAAGTGTAGCCAAGCAGACATTTGTCTAGACACATAAGTGTTCACCTACATACACACACACACACACACACACACTTTCTTCCATTCCAAACAGTAGTAAAT